CATAGCGAACTGCATATGTGGCCCACAATATTAAATAGGTTGAGAACCAGTGATGGGAAAGTTGTGAGGCTGAGGTTGGCAACAGAGTTTGGAACTGGGGTGTTAATCATGAGCGTCTTTTTGTGATAAATGGGGAGTTACCTTGCTGCAAGGGTGAAGTCTACTTGTGGCCTTTGCGATCCACTGATTTCTGTTGGCTTTTTAATAGTTATTTGGTAGCTTGGCCAGAGCAATGGGTGACAGCGTCTTAGGTGTAGTTGTGCTGGTTCACTTTACGGTGACAAGTTTTATCATGCAGGGCCTATTCCTGCAGTGTCTTGTGTGTGTGTGTGTGTGTGTAACTTACTTGTGTGGTGTGTGTCAATCTTGGTAGAAATTCAGGTTTTTGATAGTACAGGTTGGACCTCCCTCATCTAGTACCCTCTGGACTAGTCCCAGATGAGGGATTTTGCCAGACCAGGGGAAGTCATTCCCCCTCACATCTTCATCACTGGCCTCCCCCAAGCTGGGCTCCTAGTTTTGCTGCCTTGGGGCAGTCCCATTACTGGGCTCCCCCCTGCTGTCAGGGCTGGGAGCCACTGGACCATCACCAGGACTCTCTGGTCCTGGAATATTTGTGGCCCTTTGGACCACGGATGTTGCCAGACCAGAGAGTCCTGGTTTAGAGAGATTCAACCTGCATCATTTTTAGGGCTGGAATCTCGTTGTCTTGCATTTATCTGCTACTTGCTGTACTCTCTTGTGGTGCTGAGGCTCAAGTGAGTGGTTCCTGATTGAAAGTGGGTCATACTGATTGTTTTTTCTTTCAGGACCATTAAGATTCCATGGCGACGTATCTGGAGTTCATTCAGCAAAATGAAGAGCGAGATGGGGTGCGTTTCAGCTGGAACGTGTGGCCTTCCAGCAGGCTGGAGGCCACAAGAATGGTCGTACCCTTGGCCTGTCTACTCACTCCCCTGAAGGAACGGCTAGACCTGCCTCCTGTACAATATGAACCAGTACTTTGCAGCAGGCCTACTTGCAAAGCAGTGCTCAACCCACTTTGGTATGGATTTCTGAGTTAACTGTAAGCTGTGAATGTTAGTTAGCATTAGATGGAAATAGAACTTTGGAGAATCTGGTAGCCATCAATTTCCTTCCCCTTCTCTCAGTTCAGAGCCTGTCCCAACACACCCTTTGGATTAAATGTCCTGGGATTTTTAAAACACTTGTGCACTTAGTAATAAGTAAGGAATGCCTCTTTGTTAGTCAGGGCTGCCAGAAGGAGAAGGAAGCAAAAATGGGACACCGAGACAAATGGGCAAAGGATTATCCGAGGTCGGGGGTAGCTATGGAAGGGAAACCAGAATTGATGTGTCAATACCTACATCACAACCACTGAGACATTGACATTGTGTAACATTAGCATACCATGCCGCTTAAAGTAAATAAAAATCACATTTAGCACCTAGAGGCAGCAATGATGGGCATATTAGTAGAGCCTTGTGTGGATATAAAATTTGTATCCGCAGCCGATCTGTGACCTGCAAAAATGGTCTGCAGACATCCACCTGTGCAGCTATGGATATCTGTGAATATAAAGGGGGTAGCCACAGATTTTCAGGACTCTACATACTAGATAGGGCCAAGAATGTCTGAAGAGACTTTTCTTTGCACTTTCGGTGGCAAGGTAGAAATTTGAATCAACATTGTCGTCCTCCTTGATATAGGAGGTGGCTGATGTAAGTAGAAAGATTATGTTTGTGGGTGTGCTTCTATTTTAGGGGAGGAAACGCTGTCTGTCCTCTCAGACTCTCAGGATGAGCTTGTGGACATGCGTGTCTGCTGGCGAGTATTGTGAGGAAGGTGTTGAG